GTTGTATTCAACATTGATAAAGGGGGGAACCTCAAACTGCTGGTGGAAATTAGAATAGGTTTTCTGTCTTGTTTTCTGTTTTGTTTTTTGTTTTTTGGGTTTTTTTTTTTTTTGAGAGAGCACCAAGTCAATGCCAGGAGTTTAAAAAATATGTATAAGCTTTCACTCCTAGGAAACTAGGAAAGTGTAGTATGGAAATAATCAGATGAGTGGGCAACTTATTTAAAAAACCCATCCTGGTATTTTGCAATAAGAAAGTGAAAGTAACCTAAGCATCTGCCAACTGGACACATACTAGATAATTTAGGTTTTAGTACATAATAGAGTGCTAAGTGACCACTGGAATGTAAGGTGATCTACATTCATCACCATATAGTAGGTTCATTGTATTCTTAAGTGAAAAGGTGGCATATTTTCAATCTCTATAATATATATACATATGCACGTGTGTGTATATATGTATGTATGTAATCTCTTTACAACTCTACTCTCTACCTTTGAACTGAAATCCCTTAATACATATACAGCATGTATTATAATTCTGTCCTGTCCTTAGAAATAATCAAAAGGAAGATTTTTAGTTTTTCAAATTACACAAAGCCATTATTTCCAAGCATCCCCACCTTGGGCCAAAATTATCCTTTCTCCCTTTGAAGTCGTTTTCCCACAGTTGATCCAGGGAGACAGCAAAGCAGTTCTCTTCATTAAACCTTCATATTCAGAAGCTGAGGCACAAAGATATAGTTTTAACTATGTTCAAAACATGTTTTCTGATTTTAATTTTTCCAAGTTTATAGAATACTTAACATCACTGATCATTTCAATTAAGCACTTTGGAATTCCAGGGAAAGAATTTTGATGACATCAGCTGACATATGTAATCCTAAACCTTGCAAGTAAATTCAGTCATGAGTTTTCTGCTTCCACCCTTGAGCAAATGCCCCTAATGGAACTTACCCCCTGCCGTTTGCTTCGAAGAAAGAATGTATGAAGAATCTAGCGAAAGCCAATGACTTTTTTTTTTTTTTTTTAACATAAGCTGCAATTTTAGTTAGAAATCACTTAGTGAAGCCGGAAATTAAGTATAGTTTTTGGTTTTTTTTTTTTTTTGCTTCTAGCATCACCCCGACTTGCAGTTCTATATGAGCCTGTACAAGTCATCTAACTTTGTTAATCTCCAGTTTCCATGACATCTCTTCAAACCTGAGATGGCAAGTTTGTTTTTTTTTTTTAAGGATTTTTAGAAACTAGAGTTTGTACTTTGGGGTAACTACACCTTCTAAAGTGAAATACTTTTCATTCATTTCTTACACTCATTTATTAAGGGCAGATTTTCTATCAGGATAGTTTTTAGGTCCTTGGGATGCATCACAAGATAAAGATCCTTGTTTTTAGGTTTGTGATGATTTAATAAAACCAAAGCAACTTAAAGTGCTCATAAAAATACAATGTGAAATAACTAGAGTTGAAGCTACAGGTATTTATTTACCATTTTATATTCTTAACTAGTTGTATAAACCAAAGGAATGTAGTCAAAACAAACTAAATGTTTTCTTGGCCTTTGATGACCTGGGATTTAGAAGGAAGCATACAGTGAAATGCTGGAAAATGTGTGCATGGTCTCGGGAGTCACCCAGGTTTAAGAAATCTACCCTCGATACAATCCAACTGGAAAAAAGCTTAAAAATGCATCTGGCTTTTATCATTTGTGTAAGAATCAGCCTATTATTTTAACTAAATAAGCTATCAATGCCATACGATTATCTATTAATACAATTGTTTCATGTATGGAACTTTGTAGAGTCAGGACCTGACGTTTTGGTCATTTGCTTTCACAATTGTCAGAATTCTCAGACTTCATTTAAAGTCAGTTTGACTTGACAGGGATGTTCTGTCACTTTAATTTTTTCAATTTTCAGTTTTTAATTTTTGTGGATACAGAAGTCTGCATTTTCTTTATTAGTTATCTAATTATCTTCAGTTTCTCTGATCATTCCTTTTTGCCCGATATCTTCCTGAGTATTGAATAAGGCAGTTAAATAAGGTATTTAATAAGTATATTTTATGCTTTCTTCTATTACAATTTTATATTGCATAAATAGAAGCTTGCTGTATAAATAAAACAAGTCTCTAGAAGCAAGCGTTCAGTGAACTTTATATCCATACCCCTCACCTGCAGAAAGACCCCACAGGGAATCCGATTACCCCTCGACGTGGGTCATTGGCTCCTCGCTAGACCAGCCTAACTGGCCTCCATCAGCAAATGAACATGGCTTTCATCAGCATGTTGCTCTGAAGGGACCTTTGTCCCCAGGTCATATGAGGGTTAAGCTGGCAGCTGCACATCGTGCCATGTGCTTCTCCCCTTTGGGTTTTTGAGACAGTCTTGCTGTTGCCAAGGCCGGAGTGCAGTGGCACGATCTCGGCCCATTGTAGCCTCCACTCTGAGTTCAAGCATTTCTCCTGCCTCAGCCGACCAAGTAGCTGGGATTACAGGCATGTGCCAACCACGCCAATTTTTTGTATTTTTAGTAGAGACAGGGTTTCGGGCTGGGGTTTCGCCATGTTGTGAGCTAGTCTCAAACTCCTGGCCTCAAGTGATCCACCTGCTTCTGCCAACCTAAAATGCTGGGATTACAGGCCTGAGCCACCATGCCCGGCCACTTACTCACCTTAAATTATCAAGTATCATGGCTTGGCACAAAACACCAGAGGTTAGAAGGCGTAGTTCTATGACCACACCTGCCTCTACCGCTTGAATGGGGCAATAATTTACTTGCTCAGGAACATCAGCTTCTTCCTCCCATGGGAGCCAATTCTTTAATATTTTGTGAAGATCAGAATCAAAAATCAGATAATGTAAAATGTTTTCAAAACTAGGGATGGTCCTGGGGACAGTCTATGTTTTCCTCATTACTTGGATTAGTGCATGCCATGTTTCAGGTATACAACTAATATTAAGTTACTAAATTATGTATATTACTAAAATAATTCATATTTTAATAAGCAAATCTGGTGACCACAAATTACCTTATAAAGAATTTGCTGAGATGACTGGGGAAAAATCCTTGGTCACTCCCTTTTTACAGTGGAACTAGTTTTATGTGTGAAGAGTGGGTACCCACCATGTGTAAAATGAGATTTAAATTTTTTAAAGTTATATTAAAGAGCCTACAACAACAAAAGTGCCTGTCAACAGTGGAAAAGATTGGTAAATCACCAGGAAAAAAACATGTTGATGTAACCACCACGGAGTTGGTTGAATAGACTCTTAAACATTGAATAAGTCACCTCCTTCCACGTCCCGGATCACTAAAGTCCATGATATCCCTAGAAACTTGTCAAGATGCACCTCACTTATTGCTTCAGAATACTTTTGAAATATCTGTCAGTGTTAGTTAAATATTCTACAGCTAAATGTGCAGAGAGAATTAATCTTGGAAAACAAAAGTCCTATTTTTAATATATAGCAACTGAGAAATGGGAAGCAAAAAACACATGTCCCAGGATAGAGCACAGAGGCAGTGTGAATTGGAGGAGTGTTGTAGAGGGAAGAAAGATCAAGGGGTGCTAGATAAGGCAAGAGAATGCAGAAGGGGGAGGGCATTGGTGCAGATAACAAAGGAATTACACGTGAATGGAGCTGAATTGAAACAACACTGAGGATATTTCATAGATGAATCTGGTCCATTTCTTCGCCATCCCTCTCCAGGACATTCTTCCATCTCTTTTCCATGTGATGATGTTTGGTTTCAGGGTCAAGATCAAATTATTAAGGGACCTTCTGAATAAAAACCTAGAAGTTAGCATGTTGAAGGGAATGTGTCTACGCTCAACAATGGAGAAGCATTGTTCCTTCTGTGTTGACACTAGAACACTAAGGAACCTTTTTGCTTAGTCTTAAGTCAACTGTGTAACCACTTTGTCCAGTGTTATTCCTAAACCTTGTATCAATAAAAACGCAGATCCCTCAATATTTTTTATTTCTATTTCAGGACCTTACACACAGAAGCAGCTAAAGTTAAATGGTGGGGTGAGTGCAGTCTTGGCTTATTTATTCCACCAAAGTCACACGTCTATCAAAGCACCACACCCAACTTCCAACTCATTACAGAAATACTTGTCTTTAGCATATCACTGAAGATGTTGAGAATAAGAAAATTGAGCAACCCAAAAAGGGAACTAAGTTAGCTAATGTAGAATGAATAAACCAAGACATTTTATCTATTACCATTTAAGCGTAAATGGCAGTTTTGTAGGTTTTTGGCCGTGTAACAATCTTAATGGCAGAGTCAATTATCAATGAATCAGTATTTCCAGGCTATGGCTGGACTCCATAGAATCAAGACAGGGCAAGTATTTGCAATGTTTTTATCACTTACACTGGAAAGAACATTCATAAAATGTAAGACTACAGAATCAAAATACGATAGTATCACCTTCCTAAAAGTTTTCTAAACAAAACTGCTACCCGTTTAGCACTGGAAAATATTTTACTTGTATTGAATGTTTGAAAGTAAATCAAGGAGGTGTCAAATGCTCCAATTTCCCACATTCAGAGGATGGTCAGCAATGCAAGACAGAAGGATGTGATCACAGGGTTAACAGCGGGCAGCACTCCAGAGATGCGGCTGGGCTTGCCAGGAACGGTTTCTAGGGCTGCCTGCCTGAGAATGCCCTCTGGAAAGGTTTCTTAGTGAATCAGTTGAACAAGTTGGCTAATGCAGAGATGCTCCCAGCTTTGCTTTGCGTTTAGCACTGGAAAATATTTTACTTGTATTGAATGTTTGAAAGTAAATCAAGGAGGTGGCAAATGCTCCGATTTCCATTCAGAGGATGGTCAGCAATGCAGACAGAAGGATCATGATCACAGGTTAACACGGGCACTCCAGAGGGCGGCTGGGCTTGCCAGGAACGGTTTTCTAGGGCTGCCTGCCTGAGAATGCCCTCTGGAAAGGTTTCTTGGTGAATCCAGTTGAACAAGTTGGCTAATGCAGAGATGCTCCCCAGCTTTGCTATTGTTAGCAAGTAATCCTTGCAACAGGATGATTTTGCCTGTTAATAATTTTGAATTAGCTAAGTGACAACATTCTTCAGAAGCAATACCGTATGTTCTGAAATAGCTGCGTTATTGGTTGCAGCACTGCGGAGGTTTGCAGAGTCCCCACTAGTCCTCCCTGATCACAGTCCCCACCCTGATGCCCTGGGAGTCCCCGCTAGTCCTTCCTGGTCACAGTCGCCACCCTGAGCTTCAGAACCAATACCGTATTTTCTGGAATAGCTGCATCATTGGCCGCAGCACCGCAGATGTTTGCAGAGTCCCCGCTAGTCCTTCCTGATCACAGTCCCCACCCTGATGCTCTGGGAGGAGCCACATCTCCCCAGCACTTTCCTCAGAGCCGCGGCCACCTCTTGATTCCTCAAGCTGTAGATGAGTGGGTTGAGCATGGGGGTGAGGATGGTGTAGAAGGCGGACACCACTTTGTCCTTCTCTGGGGTGTGGTAGGAGTGGGGCAGCACGTTGGTGTAGAAGGCCGCCCCGTAGAAAATGCTCACCACCATGACGTGGGAGGAACACGTAGCAAAGGCTTTGCGCCGGCCCTCGGCAGAGTTCATCCGGTGGACAGTCAGGAGGATGCGCGTGTAGGACACGGAGATGACGGACACAGGGAGCATCAGCATCAGCACGCAGCAGGCATACATCAGGGTCTCGTAGAGCGACGTGTCTGTGCACGACAACCTCAGCACGGCTGGGATCTCACAGAAAAAGTGATTGATCTCTCGGGAGCTACAGAAGGGGAAACTCATAGTGACAGGCGTCAGCATGAACCCATCCAAGGAGCCGCCCACCCAGGAGCCGCCCACCATGAATAAGCAGAGCCTGCGGTTCATGAGGAGAGGGTACCGGAGAGGGTGGCACACAGCCACGTACCGGTCATAGGCCATGAGACCCAGCAGGAAGAATTCCCCTCCAATCAGGGTCAGCTAGAGGAAGATCTGAAGTGCGCAGCCCAGGAAGGAAATGGTCTTGTCCTGGGACAGGAGGTCCTGGAGCATCTTGGGGACCGTGATACAGATGTAGATGGTGTCCATGATGGAGAGCTGGCTGAGCAAGAAGTACATGGGAGTGTGGAGGCGGGAGTCCACATGGATGAGCAGAATCATGACCACGTTGGCTGCTATTGCCACCACAAAGATGGAGAAGACTATTGCAAAGAGAAGCCCGGGGAAGGCAGGATGGGTGATGAGGCCTATGAGGACGAAGTTAGTGGAGTTCTGGAGAAGGCCCTCCATGCCCATGGTCCATGAGAGCTCCGTGGGCTGTCAAGGCAGAAATCTGGCAGCTTAATGACCTGACATGTAGGAAATAGTATGTCAGCAGCGTGTGATAAAGCAAAGATCACCTACTTCAGGATCATTTGAAATCCCAGTTTCAGTGTTAATGATCTGTATGATACTGGACAGAAAATTAATCTCAACTCAGTTTCATCATCTGTGAAAAGTCATCCTAGTTCTATACAGGCTGGATGTGAGATGTAAATGTAATAATTCATACAGTACCTGGTTTAGAATCGGCTTTTTATTTTGAACTATCTTCTGAATACATTTTATAATCCTTACCACTTTAGATTGTAAGTTTTCTGAGGGTGGTTACCGTGCCTTATTTCCCATTTTGCCTTGTAATACATGGTTTGGGTTTAAATTGCTCTTTCTCCATTAAGATGATTGCATTAAGATCATACACAGACATTCTACCAATTTCGTAAGTCACAAGTAGATATCTAGATAACTGACTTTTTTGGCTGCTGTTACTAAACAGCCCTACGAAAGTCTGCAACCTCAAAAAGCAGTACAGATGGCTTCATTTGAGGTCAGGAGCTGCTGTCTTGTGGTTAGACTTTTGTCCTGCAAAGCGAGTTCATGCTTTAGTCATGGATTGCTGTGAGATCTTGTGTCTATTTGTTCTCACAGAATTTGGGGATCATAAATCTGGAAGGACCACCACAAACTGCTTCAGAGCAGGGCTTTAGTTTCCTTATCATGGTGGTCCCTTCTGGTTGACACCATGAATTCTGCTCGTTTTATGACTAAATACTGCATCATATCACTCAATGATGACCTAATATTCTCTTAAAATATTGTTTAGCCAAAATGCTAGCATTTCTGACAGTAGCATTCTGAAGCTGTTCTAGTGTTATATCATCCTAGGAATCCACTGCTAGCTGCATTTTTTCCTCAAATTTCTCCACCATTTTGCTGATCCTTCAATGTCTCTAAGAATAACTACAGTTGGGAACAGTGGCTCACACCTGTGATCCTAGCACTTTGGGTGACCGAGGCGGGCAGGTCAAAGTCAGGACTTCGAGACCAGCCTGGCCAACATGGTGAAACCTCATTTCTACCAAAAATATGAAAATTAGTCAGGTGTGATGGCAGGTGCCTATAAAATCCCAGCTACTCGGGAGGCTGAGGAAGGAGAATCGCTTGAACCCAGGAGGCGGAGGTTGCAGTGAGCCGAGATCGTGCCATTGCACTCCAGCCTGGGGGACAAGAGTGAGACTTCATCTCAAAAAACAAAACATCAAGAATCTATAGATGGTAAAGACATTTCTGAACTCAGAAGAAAGCAGTATCAAGCATTCCTTGAACTAAATGGAATAAATTCTCATGTTGAGTAACGTGAATGCGTGTTCTTTTGATATGTTCAGGGATATTGAGGGATGAATTGTTCCTTTTAGATTATGGTGTATCTTTTTCTCATTTTAGTGACAGGATTACTGAAGAAACGTTTCTGTAAAACGTTTTGGCCACCAATACTACAAATATATCTGAATCTTTTGGTTCCAGAATAGTCAAATTTACAGTCTCTGAAGCATCAGTAAGGAATAAACTCCCCTTACATTGAAGCAAACACAATAGGAACAGTAAACAGTTTTCCTTCTTAGTGCTCAAAGATGGAGATGTGAGTAATAGACCTAAAAAGATGAGTAAACTTTCAAAGGGAGAAGAAAAGCAATTTTTTTTGTTGGTCTGTGCTGAAACTTCAATTAATCACACCTTGGTTGAGGAGAAAAAAAATACATGAGCATCAAATATTAACTCCTATCAAGCTTGGTAAGAGTCAGCTACTTTTGCCTTCTCTAATAGGAAGATTTTCTTGTGATAGCCACAGCTTTGAGTCATGGGTCAAGAGACTATTTAAATATAAAATTCCACTTACAGTGGCTTTTGCAACAGCTTGTTAGAAATGAAAAGTATTAATCCGGCAGACAATAAGTTTATCTTGACCCATATCTATTGTTTCACTTAAATGCATTATGGGTATTACACAGTTACTATAGTGTTAGCTTACAATCATCCTTTAAAAATATACTTTGAGAAACTGAAATAGGTAAGAATGAGACAAATGAAAGTGACTTAAATTACTTTTGAATCAGAACACAAGTCAAAGCATTTTTGTTTCATGTAAATAATCAGACTACACTTCACAAGGTATTCAAAGGGGAGGCAAAACAATCTATTGCCTCAAATGTCTGATAGAGTAAACCATTTCCAACGCCCAGATCTTATCTCATTGTAGATCCCAGAGGGGGAGTGTAAAAAAAGCTGCAGTAGGAGAAAAATGTGATTTTAGCCACCTCCCTTATTTTTATACAACCAAGGCTGTTTAAAAGAGATGAGAGATTGCTTGAGTGTGTTGTGTACATGTGTAGAGTTCATATGTGGGTGAGCATGGTATGGGTGGCCATGTGTGTAGGGCGCAGCCCCGCTGAAGAGCAGAACACTACACTGCTCGGCACAAAAGAGCAATTCACCCATTTCAAATGAAGCCAATATTGAAAACCAAATGTGACATGTTCTAATGCGAGCCTGATATTGTTCCGTAGGACACTGGGCATTAAGTATCCGCATTATGAAAACATTTGTTATCACTTACTTGTTTAAGTCAGTTCCGGGCATCTAAATGTTCACATTCGAGTTAATGCTATTTAACATGATGTGTGGTTTGGCTTATTCACACACACAAGATTCCTAGATTCCATTCCCCATCAGGTCATCTTTCCTCCACTATCATTATTCTCCACTCTAAGACCCTTGGGTTTTTTCCTGTTTCCCTCATAGACTAGTCTTTCAAAAACAAAAAAACAAAAAACAAAAAAAAACACGGCTTTTGAAAGAAAGGAAGACGACAAAAAAAAAAAAAAAAAAGCTTTTATTTCCATGATCAAAGCTTCAGGCCTTTCTGCTATTCAAGGCGGGGAATGCTTTGTCCCCAGTGCAGGTTAGAACATAACCCAGAAACCCTGACCCCCAGGGACCAGTTATAACATCACCCAGTGTTGCAGCACAGTTATCTGGCAGGAACGGGAGGGTGGGAAGATCAAGCCCAGAGGTGGAGGACACCGTGCACGGGAGCTCTGCATCCGTTATCTGCACACTTGGGGCTGATGGGTAAGGGATGAGTGAGCTCACCAAGAGGCATTTATTCTACCTGTGGTCAGCCACATGGCAAGAAGCGGGAAAGAATGAGGAGAATCTCCCTGCAGGGTGCCAGGTGATCAAAGCTGGATGTTTCGGGACAACAGTCCTGGGGTTGTTCTGGGAGAAGCCATAGAAATCAAGCACAATGGGTGACTCATTGAAAATTGTATGAAGATCTCCAAGAGGTCAGATGTTATTCTACCAGGAAGAGCTTCGTGCAATTCATTGACACCCGTTTCCGGGAATTCAGCATGACAAGCGCTATGAGAAGAAACTGCCAGTGTCCCTTCTGTGGCAGTCAAGCTGCTAACCAGAACTGACCTTCTCCACTTGACACAATGTAACCTACAGAGCTTTAAAGGGAGGGGTTTTCCATTCCATCCTTGGAGACAGAATGCCTCAAGTGCAAACACATTCTGTGTTCAAGATTCTCACCTAGTACTGTGTGAGCTAAGATTAATAGCAACTGACAATATTCTTAAGGGGTCTATAGCTAAGTTCGATTAAAGTATCATCAAAAATTCTCATAAAAGCAAACCATTTTAAGTCTAAAGTGGGGATTTCTAAAAATGAAAATATGTTGGGGACTATTTTAAAAGGTGTTTCACCACAAATAACAGCTAATGCCATTGTGCTTTACTCAGCTGTCAAAATCACTTTGGGGATGACATGCATAGTTACTTCTCCAGACCTCAGGTGTTCTTTCAGTAAAAGAATGTATTAGTAACATGTTGGTGACACGCCAAAGTGCCACATAGCTCTAAGTCATCATTTGTCACTGAATGAGAAAAAGGGGGCCTAGTATATTGGGGTCTTTCTGCTTTGATTAAAGCTTGTAAAGAGAAGATAAATGGTGTGAAAGGCACTAAGAAGATGGAGGAAGAGAAACAGGAAGTTGTGATATTCCCCAAATCATAAAGAACAGGGCTTTACATGTGCTGGGTAGTTTAGTTTTACAACGTACATGAAGTCACAGCAAACCAGAAGATGCTACACATCAGCTTGAGTAGTGGACAAAAAGGTACAGATTCCCCTTATCTGTGGGAGACAGTTTAAGACCCCCCTGGCCCCCCCCCATGGATGTCTGGAACTGCAGACAGCACTGAGCCCTATACATCCACCATATTCTATCCATGCATATACCTATGATCAAGTTTAATTTATAGATTAGGCACAGTAAGGAAGGGATTGACAATAAAATAGAACACCTAAGACAATATACTGTGGCTATAACTTAGTTTGATGTGTCACAGCAAAACTTGCCGTTTTCTTCCTTCGTGATTTCCTAGAAAGTTTTTCTTAACGTAGATCTTGGCAAACTCAGCTTGAGGTTTAAGTCAAGAACTTTCAACCTTTTTACTTAAAGCACCTTACAGCCTCTCTCCGGCACATCTAAGTTGCCAGCTTCATGGCTCCATCCCTTCGGGGCCATTAAGAAAAATTACTGAGTTACTTGAATCCAAGCACTGTGAGCCCACCACAGTCGATGACCCAGACAGCTACCGATTGACTCAGTAGCACACACAGCGTGAATAAGCCAGACAAAAGGACGATCCATGTCCTCTGCAAGACAAGAGTTCATCATACAAGATGGTGTGCAATTTAAAATTTGAGTTGAGTTTTTTCATTTAATATTTTTTTTAAACATGGTAGATAGCAGGAAGCTGGCAGATTGCAGGTAACTAAAACTGGAAATGAAAGTGTTAAAGAATTCTGACAGTTTTCCTCTTATCTCAAAAGTTTCAACCCAAGGGCTAGAGGGACTGAAATGATCTTAAAGCACGAAACTTTTAAAGAGAATCTAAGTGATCACTGCTTTGAAGACAGTGTATTGCAAGAACCAGAAGACAGGAGTCAGTCCAGTTAAACAGTGCAACACTGGAGAGGGAAACCGGTCTGATTCCAAAACTCGAGACTGCAAGGGGACATGATCAAAGACAGTGTAAATCATGTCAGAAAAGGCTCGAAAGCAGGAATTAGGCACCTGGGGTGAAAGAAAGGGGAGAGTCCAGTCTAACCACAGCTGAAGAGTCCGTGGAGAGCTGAGGTGTGTGGGGTGGAGCGCGGCTGGAAAGTGAAGGTGGAGAGACCAGAGCTCAGTGTTGAGAAATAAGGTGTAAATGGGAATTGTTTCAGTAAGAAAGTTACATATGCCGAAACAGGTACGTACAAAAGATCTAGCAGTTTTAGTCTCTCCACAGCCACCTAGTATCCAAGGATGTGAATTTCTCTTTCCCTTTACCTTGTATCTCCAGTTCTAATTACATACTGCCATAGATATCCCACTCTACCTGCATACTTTTAAGGATTTTATCTTAAGGCACATGTGGATGCCTTATAGGGTAAATAAAAGAGCAAGGAGGTTAGGGAAAAAAAAAAGGAAAAAATCAAATTTTCCTCCAAGCATGCAGAAAGTCTTCAGTCACACCTAAATACATATGAAAGGCAGCAATTGTCATTTAACTTAAAACGTAAATTAAAATTGTAACAAAATATTCAGAGGGCAATCTATGCTTATCCAATATGCACCCTTGCTACCAGTTAAAGTCTGAAACTTTCTTCCAGCTGTCAGCTCTCACATGCCATTTTCCTCCAGTAAATCTCTTCATATTATTCTAAACTATTAGATTTCCCTTAGCTTCCCCACGTTTCATGCTAAATGCCCCTTTTCAGTCAATCTGCTTGCCGATTAGTGAATATATGCATTTATGCTTCTTAATCCTGAGAAGGACCACTGCCTCAGTCAGCAGATAAGCTCACAGTAAGGTGGCCTTCTAACAGTTACAGAGTAATACCTAAAGAAAACATCCCAATCTGGGTAATGTTCTAGTTTTCATGAAATCTAAGATCCTACCTCAGAGAATCTGGGTCCAGGTCTTTCTAAAGCAGCAGTGGAAAGTCAGACTTCTTAAATACATGTGTGTGGGGGTGAGGCTAGGTCAGAAAGTCTTTTCACTAATAGATTCCCACATCCCCCAGGAAGAATTTCTGGGTTAGCAATTAATCCAGGTTGACTGGGTTTACCATGAATTTTAGAAGCAGCCCATCCTTTCTTGCAGAGGGTGCATTGTTTTCCCAAGTGAAGGACTAGAATTGTTTCTTGCTATTTCATCATGAAAATGTCTTACTGAATCTTGGCATCTCTCCAGAGATGGAGAGGTGATATGGGGATAAGAGCCTTGCTCTAAATTGAAAATTAGATTTTAAATCTTTACAAATACAAGCTATGACAAACTAAAACTCTCCGTCACTGGCCTATTTTGTTTGGGGAGAAATATTTCAAGTTATAAAATATAAGTGTGAACCAAAGAGCATTGGAGCCAAGTCTCAGTGTAGAGGTTTCTGGTGCCAAGGTTGAGGATGCACCTCGGAAAAAGGAACACAAAATGACAGGAGCATCTGAGATTTATGCTTCTTCCAAAGAGGGTTGGGAGACTTCAATATTTAAAAGGGAAACAGTGGACATTTGAGAAAAAAAAAAAAAGGGTGGGAAGCGTGGGTAAATGGAGTAAGCAGTTGCCTTCTTTCAAGGCTTTGATCAGTGTTCACTGAATTCGCACTTTAGATATGAAAGGAGAGGGTTTAGAGGAACAGTCAGCTGGGCATTCATCTCCTGCTCAGTCTGGATTTGTATATTAAAGGGACACAGAGGAAAGAGTCAAATACGCATTTCTTTCAGGGAAGTGGAGGAATGACCCCCAGGTCTGTCTGTCCACTGCCTCTGAAGATAAGCCGCTCATTTACATTATCAGCACAACATTCAACAGAATGGTTTTAAGAGTAAAGATCTTTGGGCCGGCAAGGAATTTCCTTGGGAGCAAATTGTGAGGGAGGTTCCTTGGGGAAGTATGTAGCCTTCTACCTGTGTAGCTATCCATTTGGGAACAGTACGGAATCTGTAGCTATCCAGTCAGGAACAATATGAAAGTTTTTTGCATGACAGTTCCCAAGCTTGACTTTTTCCTTTGGCTGAGTTTGGGTCCCGAGAGTTATTTTCCTTCTACTTTCTCCTACCTTCTATTTTCACAAAAGTGGTATTTGTCACACAGGTTAAGTGTTCTTCAGAATTAATTTGTCTTATGCATAGTACAGAAGAACGTTGAATTCAGTAGGAATAAAGGAGACATGAGAAACTAGAAGAAAGGATGCAATGGGTAGAAAAAAGTGAGGGTTAAACAAGTTATACGTTTTCTAAAATTTTTCACAAGAGTATATCAAGATACTTAAAGTTTAGGAAAACTGAACTTCCTAACATTTGTTTCTCTAATGGGGAAAAGTGGTCTTGTTTGGGGAGCAGAACTTCCATAAGAGTAATAACACTGAGTGCTTTTCATGATTTAAGTCAGCTAGTGGGCACATGATCATTTCTAGTCATCACAAATCCATTAGATACATACCTTATTCCTTATGTCCTAATGTTACAGATAAACAGAAAACCCTGTACCTCTCTTCAGCCTTTAGAATGTGATTCAATAATTCTTCCTAAAATTTTTTATATGTCATCCATAAAAGTTCTCCAAGTAGCTATTGGATTGATTGGATAGACTCTTCCCTCTAGTGTGATGTGTCTTTCTACAGAGCCACAAATGAGTTATAATCAATATTGATCCTCTACAACCCTGGATTGGTCTCAGTACCCGATTTGGCTATAGCCACAGGGGGAGTTGATTTTGCTGTCAACAGCCAGTTTTCCTCAATGTGCCATAAAACTTTACAGTTGTCATGAAAGTGTTTGAGAAGTGCTGCTGTATCAATTAGGAAAGTTAATACAAGCCCAACCTAAGGAAAAAAAAAGACCTGTGAACAAGGTATTGATTGGTATTAGTTTCTAACTCACATGTCACAATGTTTTGTCTAGTGTTGAATTTAGTTATCTTGTGAAAATGGAGTCTACGTTATTTCTATAAAAGGTATTTTGTGGCATCTCAATCTTTTCATGTTTTCTTCATTTTTCGCTTCTCTTCCTTCAACTTTTCAAGAAGTAGTCATTTTATATCAGTAGGTATAGACTTCGTTGCTACAAGCCGAGAGCGACTCCCACAGGTTGGAGTTTAGATTCTCAGTGTTTTTATTTGCAAATAATTCTGCTTGCTCAACTCACTCCACTCCGAAGTGCCACTTGACGTTTAGGATGAATCTATTTGGAAAAACCCTGCTAGTTACTATAAGAATTTTTAAGTGTTCTTTCTAAATTTCTAAAGATATTGGCCCTCTGCTCATGTCTGAAAAACAGACAATCCATTTTCACACTGCTATAAAATACCCAAGACTGGGTAATTTATAAAGAAAAAGGTTAAATGGGCTCAGTTCCACATGGCTGTGGAGGCCTCACAACCACGCTGGAAAGGGAAGGAGAAGCAAAGGCATGTCTTACATGGCAGCAGGCAAGAGGCATGTGCAGGGGAACAGCCCTTAGTAAAACCATCAGATCTTATGATTTATTCATCGTGAGAACAGCATGGGAAAGCCCCCCTTTCCCCCCAACCCCAGGATTCAATTACCTCCCACCAGGCCCCTCGCACTATATGGGGATTATAGGAGCTAGAATTCAAGATATTTGGGTGGGGACACAGTCAACCCTTATCAGACACATTCCAATTAAGTTCTTTAACTGGAGGTTCTGGCAAGAAAAAAAGATATGCTGAGGTTGCTGAGATCTACAGTAAGAATCATCTTCTATCTTTGAAATTGTGTAGAAGGAAGAAACATTTGTGGTAATTTTGCTGTCACACCTCAAACTGCAAAACTTATAGTCATGGTGTGTGATAAGTGTTTAGGGTAAGAAAAAATGCATTACATTTATGGTAGAAGATGAGCAAATGTGTTGTGACCGACATCAGGTTCTATGCTTATGGTTTCAGGCTTCCCCTGGGAGTCTTAGAACACAACCCCTGAGGATAAGATGGTGACTGCTATCTTTGAAATATATTTGATGAGTTGATTCTTTATAATGGTCAATGGACAGTGTCTAAAGGGGAGAAGTCGGGAGAAGTCAGGGAAGCAGGTGAAGATGACCGTTTCTTTTGTCGTGACTGAGCGGAGCCAGAAACAGGCTACTCCATGATTTTTACTGGAATGCACAACCTTGTTAAAATCTGATGGGTGACTACTAAACCCCAACTTTATGCCTACGCCATCCCAAGCTGTTCGTTGTTCAGAACCTTCATTCCTCTCAAAAATGAAATCCTTAAAATCCCAGGCAGCTTTCCAAACCTCATAAATGCCCCACAGTTGCTGGCATGGGGATGACTTGTTTCCAGGCAGAGAATATTTAAGTTCAAGGGCAACAACAAAGTCTTGTATCCTTCATTTCAAATCTCTAGCAGCATATGCAGTTTCTTTAGAAAGTGGTTACCTTTCCTGAGGACACACCTCCCCACCACCTTCTGTAGGGCCCCTGTGACATCCTTGTTCCTAAGGCTATAAATGAGTGGGTTGAGCATGGGAGTGAGGATGGTGTAGAAGGCAGACACAGCTTTGTCCTGCTCAGGGGTGTGGTAAGAGTGAGGCAGCACGTATGTGTACATGGCAGCCCCATAGAAGAGGCCCACAACCACCATGTGTGAGGAGCAGGTGGCCACAGCCTTTCGCCTCCCCTCTGCCTCACTCATCCTATAAACAGTAATGAGAATTCTTGTGTACAAGGCTGAGATGACAGAAAAAGGGATGAGGAGCATCATGATGCAGCAGACATACCTGGCTGTCTTGTAGGCCGACGTGTCCGTGCAGGAGAGCTTCAGAAGGGCAGGGACCTCGCAGAAGAAGTGGTTGATCTCCCGAGAGGCATAGAAGGGGAACTGCATGGTGAGGGGGGTGAGCAGGAAACCATCCACAGACCCTCCCAGCCAGGCTGCCGCCACAAACAACCAGCAGACCCTGCGGCTCATGAGGACAGGGTAGCGGAGAGGGTTGCAGACGGCTATGTAGCGATCACAGGACATGAGTCCTAGGAGGAAGAACTCAGCCCCTGCTAAGGTCAGGTAGAGGAAGTGTTGGGCAGTGCATCCTGCAAAGGAAATGGCTCTCTGGCTCATCACCTGGTCCACCAGCATTTTGGGCACAATGGTGGAAATGTACAGGATGTCCATGAGGGAGAGCTGGCTGAGCAGGAAGTACATGGGGGTGTGGAGGCGGGAGTCTATGTGGATGAGAATGATCATGGCCATGTTGCTGGCTACAGAGGTCACAAAGACCAGGAGAACGAGGGCAAAGAGAAGCCAGGGGAAACGGGCGTTGCTGAACAAACCCAAGAGGGTGAAGTCGGCATACACGGAATAATTGCCCCACTCCATAGCTCTGTAGGGTACACAAGAGACATGATAAAGTTGGAAAGGTATCTGATTTACCTAAAACATTATGAAGCAGTCATGAACAAACCAAGGTCAAGTCATCTTCCTGAAGCTCATAACAATTTCCTGAGAGCTGCCTGAGCAGGATTGTGCTACATCTCATATCATAGTTCAGGATGATTTTCTTGATTTGGTGACTACTATTTAGAGTTCATGATGAAACAATCTTTCTGTTCATGACCACATTCACTTCTATCTTTCGAGTACCACCTTACATCGGGGGGATGCACTTGAGGAACCAGCCTGATTGAATAGGAGAGGGTGGTGGGAGGAAAGGAGGATTGTCCCCGTCCTAGACTGTTCTCCTTATACTAGCCTCGAGTTCTCAGTTTGGATATCACCAAGAGTACATATGTTGCTTATTGAATAACTGCATTGATCTGACCTAATTTCTACCATTCTGGACACGTTTGTACATTGTCAAATGCGAGTGCTCAACTTCTATCAAGCAGCATATTTGAAAACGAGCCTGCATTGAATAAAAAGCTGAGTTATGAGAAGTCATTCAAGAATTCATAGGAAGAAATCACGGGAGAAAATGTTTAGGGTCAAGCCGTTTGCTTTCCTTCTTGCAGCAGAACACTACTGGGTAACATACGACTCGTTAACAAGTAAAAGTTAAATGGTAGTATAACGTTTTATGAATATGAGATTGAGATCCCTTTTGGGATACACTAACTCAAAGTTAGATTATGCATGTATATCCATGTCAGTTAATCTTAACTCATGTGTCCCTAAATGCGGTATGTGGATAGCTTCTCTGCATCATACGGAGCTGCACTGTCCAGTGTGGAGCCATGAGTCTCGAAGCCGTGGAGCCCGAGACATGATGCTCCAAGTCAAAATGTGCCGTCAGTACAAGTTACATTAAGAATTCCAAATCTTGTTAAAAATATATGCAGCACAGCTCCTTAAAACTTTATATTATGTGGTAAATATTTTAGATACATTTGGATATAGATTAAAATTTTCACTTATTTTACATTTTTGATGTGGTTACTAGAAAATTTAGAATTATCTCTGTGGCTCCCCTAGGGTTTCTACGAGACAGCACTGGTCTAGAGGTATCACCCCTTTCTGAGAATACAACAGCTCCAAGTACCTTCATCCAAACAAGTCCTCCAGAATCAAACCCAAATTAGAATTCAGCCAAGAAATTTAGGTGTGATACCAAACTAGAAAAACATCTACTTGTATGTGCATTCACCTGCAAATAGTCATAACCAATTCATAAATTTCACATTTCTGAACAACCTTGTAAGATACTAGACCATTCTACAGTTGAAAACGAGGCTTAAGGAAACTTCCCCAGAGGAACATGGTTCTCTTCAAACAGTGACAGTGTAATTGTTCTATGCTGTTCTCCAACAGGACAAAGTAGACATCAATTCATTCCTCCCACAAACGTTCCCGAGAGGCACACTGGGTAAGCCAAAGTTTGATATTCCAAAAAGGACCTGAAAGAATGTAAGACATCATCTGTCTTCAGGAAGCTTGGAATCAAGGCACGTGAACGTATGCAGTATGTGTGACCACAGGTGCACTATCAGAATGGTTTGAAGACCTCTGTAGTTTTGACTTATTTGGCATGTGAAGAAAGGACAATAAAAATGATGGAAGCTGCAGCCCACTGGCTGGTAGACAGGAAACTCACACCAGGGCCCCTCGGTACATTCCACCACAACCAGGCCACAAAGGACAGATGGAAAATGAAAATTAAGTTCTCAGCCAGATTTTTACTGATGAAACCCACATTATATCCTTATGCATTTTTCAGTTCTCATTCTTGAAATGTTACCAAGCTTTATGCCAGAGCTTTCCACAAGCTGTCTTATTATTTTTTAAACTGTGTTAAACCATTGGGGAAATTAAAGGCAAACATTTAGCAGCAATTCTTATGATGGAGAGAGGTAAATGCTCACCCAGACCTGGTTGTCCACAATTTACTAAGAACAAGATCCTTGGAGAGCTATGCTTGTTACTTCACAGTAAATTCAGAGAATGGTGGAACCTACTGGAGACCAGCCACAGTGACTGCTATTGGTCCACTGGGAATATTACAGCCCAAGAGGAAAACATGGGTCCAAAAATATGCTTATCAGGGCAGCTGTGTCCCAAAACCCTGACCATGAATACTCCTGGCCCTGAAACTTGTTAATGAGACCCCGAGGATCTCCCCAGCTTTCTTCACAAAGGGAAAGGGGAGATGTGAGTGGCTCCGTAACCACTCAGATTTTAAAACCATCTTCCACTCTTGTCAGTGTCGATTCATTCCCTGTATTTTAAAAATTACCCAGTATAACATTTAATACTTGGGAAAGAAAAAAGGAATCAACTGGGTTACTCCATGCCCCCATGTAATAACTTTTTATGTCTATGCATAATTTCAAGCTGTAGTAAAACTTCTAACTTTATATATACTTAATATTTAGCACCTTTCCCACTTAGTCTTTATACAGACTATTGCTGTTGTGACTGAATATGACACTCAACTTAGAAACATGAATGTAAACCAAGTTTGCTTATAATATACAATATTGTGAGGTTGATTCTCTGGTATAGCTCATGGAGAGCTGTGTACAATGCTTTAGAAGCCCATCAACCAGATCGTTAGATGTTTAACAGTAATAGAGCACACTTGGTGGCCGCATTGTGCTTGCCCATGTTTAGCACTAGTATCTAAACTCACGTTAATAGGGATTTGATTACTAAGAAAATTGAACATATATTTTTGTCTATTGATTTTTCATGACTGTTTCTATATAGGTGATTTGTTAAGTGTCTTCTATAGAAGAACATTGTTTAATATTTAGTAATATTCTGATGTACTATTTAGTGCAGCTATTTTGCCCCCAAGGTTACTTACAATTGTAACTTTGATGTTTAGGCCAAAAAGTTCTGAAATATTTAAAGACATTTTTATCATTCTGTATGCTGAAATTTTGGAAAATATTTTCCATCCAGGTATGTGATTTGTACAATTTTACTTGAATTTTTAAAATGCATATTTTTATGCATTTAAAATCTTTGGTCTAGACATTAGAAATTATGCAACTATTGGTTTATGAGGTCAATCCAATCATCATGAATTTGTACCTTAAGATCATGCCGGTGAGTATCTAATTGTAGTTCAAATAATCACGAATCCAAGTGTGATGAGCAGGAATGACCTAAGTTCCAACAGTTCCGCTTGTGGATGTGGGAACACCCTCGTCGCATGCGTCAATTCTGGTATAAGTGGGTACTAAATAAGTGAGCGCCAGGTTAGCCTTAAGCAAGATAGTAATAGCAGCAACAATTAACTTTGGGGGATCTCACCCTCTGCTGTCCATGTTGTTTCTCTCAAATAGCAGATCCAACAGCAGGTAGCCAATTTTCTATTTCATTTTTGATGTCATTCTGTCCGACTCTTGCTCGGCATCAGATTGGCAACAATTCTTGGTGACCATCTAACTCAGAATATGTTTGAGTGCTAAAAGGCTAAGCTAGACAGGAGATGAGGACAACAGGCATAAAAAATATCTTGAGAGATCAGAACAGGGCAATGGTGACCCAGACTAAGACATTAAATTCTCTGTATAATGAGATTCATTATGTTTCCTCCCCAGAAGTATCTTCACATGAAGTGTCACTTCTAGTTGTGGAAAACACATTTTCTAAATTAAGATCAATTTGGGGAATCTTTAGAACGGTCAAGTTTTAAGGCCGAGAGATTGTCTTGAAGCAGACCAAGGGCATGATCACCTTCAGTCTCTAGAGAAGTTGAACTGAGTTCTTCCCCTGTCTATTCCTACCCTTGAAACTTTATTCTTGGCATTTGCTATGTAGCATTGTGAACATTAAACACAATTTTTAATCAGAAAGCCGGGTTTGTAATCCCATCTTCATCATTGATAAGCTTCTGGATGTCTGGCAAGCCACTTACATTCTGTTCTCTTTCAGCCTCTGGGAATTTCTAAGTATGGGGCAATGGTTTCTTGGAGGATAGGGAGGGTCTTCCTAAACCTTTTTTAGATACTTATGAGGTGCCTAAGAAGGTGGCATACTACAAATTAGATAAGCTCTTTATAAAGATGTTAAAATTGTATAGGTGAATATATGTTGCAATAAACACTTTGTTGGAATTACAAATCTGTCTGGAATTCCCAAGTAATCTGCTACATTCTGATGTACACAAAAGATAACCGAGTCTATAACAGAACAGGATCAAATTATTTAAGAGTAGCACTATCCACAAGTATCTACAGTTCAAAGTCAGACCTATCAGCTTCAGCCTTCTCCAGTATTTGATTTGAACCAACTTTCTAGTCCAGAATCTAAAGCATCCTGCGATTGATCAGCATCAAGACTGCAAACTTACCTTACACAGTATCTTCCCCAAACACGATGATCTGAATATTTAGAGAAAAACCTTACAGAACTAAGGTAGTAAACAGTTGTTCAGCATTTCCTTTTATGTAGTAAGTGTGGGGAACTAAGAGGCATACATTATTCTATATTCTGTATTTCAAACTTGTTTTCTGAGCTGAAACAGAAGAGTGCAGGCAGGGAGTGTCTGAATTCAAACAAGGTACAGTGGATAAGGCATGGAATTACATCTTGTTGGCAGAAAGATAAGGGTCAGTCCCTAACTATTTTAAGGTTTTAGAATACAGTGATAGGTGAAAACTTTGAAGATCTAGCAACAGACCAGCCTGAATCTGTAAATGCCTAATACTAATGCAAAGTTGACAGCAGCTACATTATATGCAGGCTGCTAAGATAGAGATCCAGCGACTTACACAGGAGAGCTTGCATCATGGCGATGGCTAGTACTCCCGTTCAGGAGATAATTGACGTCAGTATGTCTCTGGGGTCCTTGTCCCTAGCCTGCAATTTACACCGTTCATGCAAATGTGACAAAACTCACCTTAAGAAAAATGTAATCTCAATTTACAAATTGAACACCCAGATAAAGTTAGGTTGCAGGCAGCTGCAATGAAATTGCTTTTACTTCGTTCATGACATTGTTCTGAAAGTTTTTCCCATACTTCCAACTTTTAGGCATTTCTCTTGAAATAGAAATCCAGTGTTTCTAAGTATTAGTAGTCTTGCATTTTGGGCCATTCCCCATCTCTCTCAAGTAATATGTCATCATCCTGTCTTTCTTGTAACTTGTAATACGTAAGAAAACTTTCAGCATTGCAAGCATTTAAAAATATATACACAGATTAGTAAAATAAGCTGATCTGAGTTACTTCAAAATAAAGACCTTTCCTCATTCCAGTACTCTCACAAGGGCCCACACCAATTCCTGGTGGGGGAGGGGAGGGGGAATCCCAGACCCTGCAGTCTTGCTGTGCTGCAATCTATGCCTGCATGATCTTGGCTTTCATGCAATTCATTATTTACCTCACTGGTGTTTAAGATTAGTGAGGGTTGGAATTCAGGTTTTCTGAGACTGAAGCTTATGCAATCTGGGGCTTAAAAGGCTACAACAATCACGATTGCACGGGTATAATACTCCTCAGTGAAAACAAATTACACCTTTAAGAAGCTGATGAGTACCACAAATACATAACACTATCTTAAACTGGTTGACCTACACCAGTTCCCATTTTTTCCCCCAAATGGCTACATACTATGTACTCCAAGATATTTTCTATAGCAAGAGATGGTTCAATCCTAGTATGGTTGGTTGAAAATTTTAAAAATTTGGTACTTTATAAAATTGTCTTCCACTTTGTTTAGGATTGAGGTCCAATCTGAGAAAACCACTGTTAAATTACTTTTGTATGACCTGCCCCTTAGCTTTCCTCCCACCAAGAGTTGACTTTAGAAAATATTTGAAACTAAGAAATGATTGCGAGCAGTCTGAAGAATGAGCTTTGCAAAATGTTTTAGGCTGAGACACGCGAGCATGAGAATAACTTCCCTACCCAGCCCGGCTCAAATGCACAAGCCTGGGGGGTTGTTTAAGGAAATTTTATACTTTTACCCACCGTGGTTTCCAGACTAGCTGATTAATTACCTAAAATGTTACAAGTTGTACAATGTGACCTTTACCAATTATCTTCATGTTCCGGGAATTTGAGATATAAACACAAGGTATAGCTGATCACAATAGCTCATGTCGGCTTTAGAACTTCCTTTCCTCCCTTAAACGCCCCGTAACTGCTGTTAGTTGGAGCATTTATTTAGGGCTACGAGAATCTCAGATTGTGTTTCTCAGTCTTGGCCCAAGTAAACCCTACTTACGTTGATTTTGCCTCAGGTTTTTTCCTTTAGGTTGACAACCATCTCCACACCATCTCCAGAACTTTCATCACAAACAAATCCTCTGTACCCATTAACATTAACTTTCTCCTTTTCTTAAGTCTCTGGTAACATCTAATTCTATTTTGTTTCTTGGATTTTCCTATTCTAGGTACTGTAGCAAACTTGTCCAACTACTACTCGAGAGCATCACTACAGCGGTTACTGTTACTGCTCCAGACCGTCATTACAACAGGACTGAACAAGGGATGAACATAGAAATGGTGAGAAAAAAATAGAACTTCTAAAGGCAAGGCCAGCTTGGGGAAGGAGAGAGCTCCCAGCTTCCAGTGAGCAAGGGCAGCCGCCCGAGCTTCAGGCCTCCGCATTTGTTAAGAGCAGGGAGGAGGCCGTCACGACTGGTCAGCTGTGTGATTGATGGCAGGTTCACATTGTTGCCATCAGACTTTCAGACGTACCTAATAACAAACACTGGTGCCTGGGGCATGACTGCCCTCAGCATAACCTCTGCGTGGCAATCGCAGTTTGTCCATTTGCCAACATTCTGCATTTGTGAGAAGCAGTTTTGCTGCTTACTCAGCCTCCAAGGGTATAACTGAGTTGATCACAACCCTCTTTGTCTCCAACCTTTCCTGTTTTTTGAATTGGATAAGATCTGTCCCTGTATTATGGGGGTTGATGTCATCGTGACTCCGGTCAGTCCTCGGGCCTGAACACACACCCACCACATGGTTTGTTCGTCTCCTGTAAAGACACAGGCAGCCCTTGTCCCCCCGTTAGTAGTAAATCTACAGAAGCAAAGGTTTCTGTGGCTGCAGCCGGGAGGCAACACTGGTGCCTGGGGCGTGACTGCCCTCAGCATAACCTCTCTGTGCAATCGCAGTTTGTCCGCTTTGCCTCAACATTCACACTTGTGAGAAGCAGTTTTGCTGCTTACTCAGCCTCCAAGGGTATAACTGAGTTGATCACAACCCTTCTGTCTCCAACCTTTCCTGTTTTTGAATTGATAAGATCTGTCCCTGTATTATGGGGGCTGATTGGGCCGTGGATCCGGCCTGGGTCCTCGGCCTGAACACACACCCACCACATGGTTTGTTCGTCTCCTGTAAAGACACAGGCAGCCCTTGTCCCCCCGTTAGTAGTAAATCTACAGAAGCAAAGGTTTCTGTGGCTGCAGCCGGGAGGCAACACCCTGGATGAAGCATCCGCTCCACGAGCTGCAACTCAGCTTCTGCCTCTGCAGAATTGCTGCGGGTGGGGAAACTTTCTAATATTGATAATGAAAGCAGCTTTTTCTGATGAACAGAAGGCAGAGAAAACAAATTGAGGCTTATCCTTCAATGCAACAATATATACAGCAAAAAAGGTCATTCTGAACCTTCACCCGCATCTGCCAGCGGTCCATTAAGACGCCATGGGTTGTGATAAATCTTTCTCCCCAGTCATGCTTTTAAATCCCTGGCCTACCACTACACCCAAGAAATTTTCCATAACCTGGAGCAAGAACTCCTGGGACTTCCAGGAATGTCCCCGCAGTTCACATGACTTCGCCTAAAATTAATCCCATCTTCCTGTTGGCAAAGGTCCCCAAATTAAGCGCACCTAAGTTTGTTTCCTCCAAACATAACCCGTTCTTTGGGGGATCTAATCCTGCGTTTCCAGGTGTTTGAGGGGGAGTCAAGGCACCTCCGGAGACCCCCCCAAAACGGAGTCGTGGCCTGGCCTGGGGACGCCCCTTCTTCCAGGTGCCCAGGTCCAGGCCCGCTTGTTTCCCAACAGGTGTCGTTTTGATGAAATTTTGAGTGGGACTGATTAGCCCAATGATTTCCCTAATGGCAAACAAGGGCAACGTCCTGGTACTTTTTCTGTAGTGAGAACTGCTGTGAGATTCTTTCGGCCCAGATGTCTGGCGGCATTCTGTTCTGAAATGTCCGATTTTTCTACACTTAGTTTCTCACTTCAGAGCTCAACCCTGGGCTCCCTTTCAGATCTGTCAACTACCAAAATTAGCTATTGCCGGAGTCAACACTGTAAAACAATGAGGCTGAGCTCCCACATCTTAACAAGTTCTAAGAAAACCTAAACTTCCTGCACACCTCACAGGTGCCACTGCACGTTCACAACCCACATTCGTATTCTCATGAGCCATAGTCAAAGTGAGCCTTTCTGTAGCCACAGAAGATGGCACAAGTCAATTTTCATTCTCCCTTTCTCGCCTACCACACTTTTGATAGGTGCTGTGACTGGGGCAAAAAGTTCTCAGGCCGAGATGGTAAGCACCAAATTCCAAACAAAAGGGGAAAAAAAATTCCCCCATGTTACCCTGATTCAAAAACCTCCCACAACATTCTTCATACCTCTAGGGGCACTGACCAGTACCTTTTTAGAGCACTGGCCATATGTTGCTGCTGGCAGACTTGTAATGGGGTTTCTCGTTCGTCTGGTTGGTTTGTTTTCTGTTCTAGACCTTCCTCGTTCAAGTCCCTATAGGACCCTGCCTGTCCTTGCAAGTTTCTACTAGTCTCTGCTGGTCTTATCCCTATCTGTCCCCCATGGTCCCTGGCCAGTTCCTGCCTTTCCCTATGCACACTCTATTTGTCTCTATCCTACTTATCTCTATTTGTCCCTCCAGGCCTCTGCTTGTCCCTGGATGTCCCTGCTCAGGCACCACTTGTGACAGACTTGTACTATTACTACTTGAGACCATCACTGCAGCAGTTACTGTTACTGCTTGAGACCATCATTACAGGACTGAAACAAATGAACGTAGGAATGGTATTTAAAAAAACTTTCAAGGAAAAGCTAGCTTGAGGGAAGAGAGATCCCAGCTTTGAGTGAGCAAGGGCAGCCGCCCCAGCCTCTCAGGCCTCTATTTATTGAGTAGCAATAGCAGGGAGGCTTGGTCTTATCCTCATCTGTCCCCATGGTCTCGTCAGTTCCCTACCTTCCCTATGCACACTCTGTCTCTATCCCTACTTATCTCTTTGTCCCTCCAGGCCTCTGCTTGTCCCTGATGTCCCTGCTCAGGCACCACACTTGCACAGACTTGTACTATTACTACTTGAGACCATCACTACAACAGTTACTGTTACCGCTGAGACCACTGGCTACAGGAGACTGAAACGTAATGAACGTGTGAGGAATGGTAAAAACTTCTCAAGGAAAGGCTAGCTTTGAGGAAGAGATCCCAGCTTTGAGTGAGTAAGGCAGCCGCCCCAGCCTCTCAGGCCTCTGGGTTGAGCAGCAATAGCAGGGAGGAGGCCACCACTGGTGAGCTGTGATTGATCACAGGTTCACATTATTACATATATCAGACTTTGGGATGCTAACAAATACTTGTGGCCTGGGGTGACTGCCTCAGTATAATCTTTGCGTGGTAATCGCAGTTTGTCAGTTTGCCAACATTCTGCCTTTATGAGAAGCAGTTTTGCTGCTTACTCAGCCTCCGGGGTATACCGAGTTACTGACTTGATCACGACCCTTCCTTTGGCTTCCCCAACTTTTCCTTTTTTTCAGTTGAATAAGATCTGTCCCTGTATCATGGGAGCTGATGTCAGCATGACTCCAGTCGGTCTCAGCCCGAGGGACACCCACACACGGTTTGTTCGCTCCCCCAAAAGCACACACAGGCACACCACGCTCGTCCCCACGTTAGTAGTAAGTCTACAGAAGCAAAGGTTTCGTGGGCTGCAGCCGAGGTAACGCTCTTGCTGAAGCATCCGCCCACGCAGCTGCAGCTCAGCTTCTGCCTCTTGCAGAATTGCTGGGGGTAAACTCGTTGATAATGAAAGACAAGCTTTTTCCGATGAACAGAAGGCACAGAGAAAACAAAACGATTTGAGACTTATCTCTTCTCATGCAGCAGTACAGCAAAAAGCCGTCCTGAACCTTCAATTCACTTACACAGGCGGATCTATTAAATGCGGGTTGTGATAGACAATCTTTCTCCTGTGCTTCTCAAATCCCTGACCACCTCGCTTCTCAATGCATACAATGATTTACAGGGAATAAGCAACAGGTTGTAATATTCTCCTGGTTCAAAACCTAGGAGAGCTTGTGACGTTACCACTACCTGAATTTCTTCATAACTCCAGAGCAAGAACTCCTGGGATTCTTTGTGAAGGCCCTGAAAGTTCACAAGCATGACTTTGCCTAAATCATCTATCCTGTTGGCAAAGGTCTCAAATGC